GAGAGAGAGAGAGAGAGAGAACTTAGCTGCTTGTCAGTGTTGTTGTTTGGCGGCCATAGTTGGAAGCTTGAACCACCAGCCACATTTTTCGGGGGGTTGGGTACCGGACTGAAATGGCTGGCAGCGCCAGCCAAAAGCAGGCCCGCGTCGGCTCGTTTTTCGTTTCGCTCGCAGGGCGAATTTAGGCTCGGCATCAATAGCTGGGTGGGGTACTGGTGGTATGAGAACCTGTGTAGATCATTTAAAGTTGGAAATAAGTTCTGAGTGTGTTCATATCATGTGAGTCTATGATGGCTATAATGCATGAATAAAGTTTGAGGCACTAAAGGCGAGCTAGCGGATCTTTTCATAATGCGTTCCTTCCAAAAAAATTAAAAAGGTGCTTTCAGCCCTTTTTCTTTTGATGAAGCTTGTGGGCAATGGAGGACTCACACATCTCGGATAGTGTTGAAGTAAATAGCCTTATCGCTAAGCGTGAGTGCCAACAATGACATTATCGCGTAGACCTGCAGAAAGCAGACAACAGCATAAACAAAGGCAATCAGTGATCATACACAGGTATAACACCATATCGATTGTGCAAATGGAATAATGACTACACCTTGAAAATGTGCTGTCAGAGCTGGTACACACCTAACTCCTCTGAAACATTCAGACATGATCTTCACCAAACTACTACTACAACATCTTGTCGATGTCTGGGTCGCCATGTATCACCTTGATTCTATTTCATGATAATATCATCTTACTGTGTCATAATCTCATCTTACTGCGTCATCGTCGCCCCACCTTCAAACTTCAGTCTCACAGAAACTATGTCAGACGAAGGAGCTGCATAGCCCCTGCAAAGCCAAAGACCTTACACAAAATCACCAAGGCAATAGCAGACGTTTACGTCTCACAAACACATGAAACAGTGCATACCTCTGCAACAGTCTGACTGACTCAGGAGATGGAAATAAATGCTGATCAAGGAGGGGAAAACCCGTTCTGGATATAAATAATTGTCCAGGATTATCAGCACATTCCAGTCCTCATATCCTTCGAGACATCCATTAACAGTGGCACGAGACAGAGAAGATTTGCATGGCCCCTCCAGAAGCTGGGGGGGGGGGGGAAGAAAGTCCAGGAATAGATTGCTCATTTGTTGTGCAGGTGTTGCATACCGTAACGGTACAGACCAGAACAAGAACCGACCTCTCACATAGTACAAGATAGCACAGAGGAAGGGTAAAATACCAAAGATCAACCATAACAATGTCGCAATGCAGACCCAACATACATCGTCATCATTGCAAGGTGTGAAGGGCCTGGTGCTACACACAGGAAGAATGCGCCAGGTCAGACCATATACAGACGAAGAGGAGGGGATCAGACAAAGAGGAGGGGGGAGATGGGAATGTCGTCAACACCAAGTCTTCGGCACAGGTCCCAAATAGTCCCTCGTCAAATGTCTCAATCCCAATGTCGAGTCTGGATCCAAATGTCGTCAAGTCCCAAAGTCACCAATCTCTCTCTCTCTCTCTCTCTCTCTCTCTCTCTCTCTCTCTCTCTCTC